CTGAACCTCTCCTGGCTGGCAGCTGCCTCCTCCCACACATCTGGCCAATGCCTCTGAACATTCTAGATACCCTCTGCTGCAGCCCCCGACACTGCGGACCTCTGCTCCCCGTCCTAAGCCTCTCAAATGCTCTATCAGCCCAGCCCCTGCCATGAGCCCTCCGACTGCTGGGTGTCTCCAGGCTGACTCTACCTCCCCATCCAGGTTCTCCTGCAGAATCTGGAGAACCTCCTGATGGTCGAGGCCGTCCAGCTTCTTGATGAAGAAGAGGAGCTCCCACCACTCCGCCTGGGACAGGTGTTCACTCTCCTCAGCATCCTCATCCTCAGGCAGCACGTAGGGCACCGCATAGAGTTCTGTCATGGGCTTCCACCGCCAGGAGGGCACAGCTGTGGAAACGAGTCCGAGGGCCCAGGGATGTTGTTGCCTACTCAGCCAGACTACCACTCCTGGGCTCAGTGCTGACCCTGCTTCCTCTCTGGGCTCACCTACACCCAGGGCTCCGCTGACTGCTGCCCTGTGGTAGTCCTCAGCCTCAACCACATCCTCAATGTCTTCCTCAAAGCCCAGAATTTCCAGCATGTGCCAGTGTACCCAGTAGGTGCGGCCCGTCGACTCCCACAACACCTGGAGGATGGGGAGAAAAGAGAGGGAAGGGGAAGAGACAGCTCACTTACTGGCTGGTGGTGGCCCAATGATGAGGACACACAACTCTCTGGCTGACCACCTGGCCAGGTTTGGAACAACGTCCAAACAACACAACGCTGGCATATGGAGGACACGAACATGTACATAAAGGCCACCTTCTCTTGGGAATAGGCTGTTTCTCCTCCCACCCATCCCAGATGCCTTATGCCCCCCACCCCAAAGAGCCTCCTGGCCTCAGCTACTCTCTCCCTGACCCTGACCTTTGGGAAAATCTTGCTCTATCCATTTCTTCCTGGGAGTGAATCTTCCTGACCTCATGGCCTCCCCAACCCCGATTTTCTTAGCCTTCCAAATGGCCCACCTCTCACTTGCTGACCCCCTTTAACCATTCCAATCCCCACGGGGTTTTCTCCGGAGGTGGCCTGCCAGAGCCCCTGCATGGAAGCCCCAGTTATGCTCCCCTAGCTATATCCCCAACAGTGTCCCCCATGCACCCTCGCTCACCTGCACAGGGGGCACGCCGTTGTTGCTCTGGCGGAACTCGCCCTCGTCCCCAGCGCTGACCTCCTCGTAGTCATCCAGCATGCGCACTCGCATCCCGGGCTGCAGTGTCTCTCGCACGTATAAGGCATAAGTGTTGCCACTTGCAAACTCAGAGCGGGGGCGGAACCTCCTTGACCTCCTAATGGAGGGCTGGGCCCGGGTGGGTGGCAGCCCCGGGCCAGCCTCCGCCAGCTGGGGCTGGAAGATGGAGCAGGAAGACCGGGCCAAGGGCCCCTGTCTGCTCGAGGCCCAGTCCCAGCGCATGGCCTGCACCAGCTCTGAGATCAAGGTGCCCATGGCCATGCTGAACTCCAGCTCCAGTCGATCCCTTTCCCCACTCAACTCCTCAGGAGAAGAGTTATTCTGGGCCCCTGGTTCTGCAGTGCTGTCATTCAGCTGGTCCAGAAGGGAAGTGACATGCAAATAGCGCTTTACCAGGGAGAAGAGCAGCCTTCCTGGGACCTGTGGGATGAAACCTTTGGCCTATATCCACCTTGTCCCAGCTTCAGCTCCTCTTTCCACTCCATCCTTTAAGGACCAGTACAAAGGCCTGGTCCCTTGATCCTGTTTATAGCACCCACCCCAGTACCTCCCCACAGAATACCTGTGGCAGCTGAATGCCTTCAAAAGACATGGGATGTTCAGAGAGCGTGGCCTGTGCGAACAGAGCCAGCAGAGCACAGCGGCTGTCAAAATCCAGGTGTTTCTCAATGGCCTCTTGCTGGCTCAGCGATAGAAGAATCTGGGTCCGGGTCCCTGAAACCCACACCCCAGTCAGGAACTGCTCCCTCACATTGCCCTTCCCAGGCATCCCTCCTAGACCCTCTACTCTCTCAGTCCAATCCCTTTGTCATCACACATTAGGGATGACCTGATCTGATTTGCTTCAAAAGCAACAACTTGGGGGTGCTCAGCTGGTTAGCCATCTGCCTTCGGCTCAGGTCATGATCCCAGGACCTGGGTTCGAGCCCCGCCTCGGGGTTCCCGATCAGCAGGGAGTCTGCTTTTCTCTCCCACTCCCCCTGCTTGTGTTCCCTCTCTCGCTGTCTTTCTCTGTCAAATAAATAAATAAAATCTTAAAAAAAAACAATAACTGGGGTGCCTAGGTGGCTCAGTCAGTTAAGTGTCTGCCTTCGGCTCAGGTCATGATCCCTGGGTTCTGGGATCAAGCCCCAGGTCAGGCTCCTTGCTCAGCAGGGAGCCTGTTTCTCCCTCTCCCTCTGCTTGCCTGCCTGCCACTCCCCCTGCTTGTGCTCTATCTCTCACTATCTCTCTCTCTGTGTCAAATAAATAAATAAAACATTTAAAAAAAAACAATAACTTCCTCTTTTCTATATACATATTTTATATAGATATATATCTTACAATAGTCTAATATCGTAACTCTTCCTTTGCATAGAAATCCAATTAATATGAGGTTTTTGAGGATTCAGCCCTTCCTCTTTCTTTTAGTATTATTTTTTTTTAAAGTAAACTCTACGCCCAAAATGGGGCTTGAACTCACGACCCTGAGATGAAGAGTTGCACGCCCGCCTGACCGAGCCAGCTTTCCTCTTCCTAGGGAGAGGTCCCCACCTCCCTTCCTATCTCCTTTCTTCCACCTCAGCAAAATCACCGAGGCACTGATGAGGCAGGGGCTCCTGCCACAGTGTCCTGTGAGGCCCCGAGCTGACCCAGCTTCCTTTCCCCCCACACTGTTCCTCACCAGCATCATGGGAGGCCAGGGCTTGGATCATCCGGCCCGCACTCCAGCGGATCTGATAATCAGGACTACTCAACATGTGCATGAGCAGGTCCAGGACCCTTGGGTCTTTGAAAACCCCAGTCAGAGGCTCGATACTGGCGTAGGCGCTGAGTACATGCACAGTATGAAGCAAAGGAGCAGGAGGGATGGTGCCCACACACTCCTCCAGCTGCCGGAGGGCCCTCTGAATCAAAGCCTTCACATCGGTTTCCATTTCCCCCAGCACAGACTTGTCCAGGGCCCCAGCCTCCCCCGCAATCTCCTGAGAGGGCCCGATGACCTGGCCATCCTCGCCCAGCATCTTGTGGCAGTTGGCGTAGATCTCATCATTGGACATCCACAGCAAGATGTGCTCGGCCTTGCAGTCCACTTGGCTAGAGCCCCCATCCCCGTCATCCCCGCGCCGGAGGATGAGCCAGCGGATCTGGTACTCAGGATGCCCATCGTGGCCCACCCGCTGGCGGATCAGCTCATCTGGATAGGCGTGCAAGCCGGGCCCCAGGGGCACTCTGAATTCCCTGTAGCGGAGCTCCCCCACCATGCCGGCACCTGAGACACACAAGCAGGAGAGAACAAGCTAAAATGAGAGTGGGAGTTGAGAAAATCAAGGTCGTCCAGGAGTTGGAGAAGCAAATGTGGTCACAGCTGTCCGGGTGTCTGGGGTAAAAGCAGGGCCCAGGAGCTGCCTGCTACAGGCTGGGTGGGGCCAGGCCTCACAGGGAACACTGGGGTGTTTGTTCTAAGAGTACAGTATTTGGTTGCAAGGAGGGTCCAAGACCCTGCAGCCTGGAGTGGGTTGGTTTGGAGCAGTGGGAAGGGGACAGCGGGGGCAGGGCAGCCTTGGTGTTACAAGTGAATCCCAAGGCCCTGATACATGTTGCCCCAGAGGGGTGTGTGTGAGGTGTGGGTGTTGTTGGGGAATGTGTCTGGAAGGGATGCCACGTCCAGTGGCTGAAGCGCAGGAGTGTGTAACAGGCACAAGAGATCCGGAGAATTGTTGGTGGAGTGGGGTGGGGGGAGGGCAAGGCGCGATGGGCTGGGAGGAGAGGATGGAGGACTGGAGACGCGGGAGCAGCAAGGCCGGTGGGGGCGATGCAAGACCCAGGACAGGGTCGCGGGAGACCCGGTGGGTGAGCGGCGGGAGGCAGGTGGACCCGAGGGGCCGGGGGTGCGCGGCAAGGTACGGAGGAGGGGGCTAGGCCAGATGAACGAGAATCCCAAGGCACTGGAACTGGGGTGGGGGAGCGCGAGATCGGGTGGGCGCGCGGCCGCTGGGCGAGTGTGTGGAGGAAAACCCAGGGTAGGGGCAGGGGCCGCGGCGGGGCTCTGGCCACCTCAGAAGTCGATGGGGGTCCGGGCGCGAGGCCTGTCCTTCGCCGAGCTAGGGACGCGGTGAAGACGATGGCGGCGATGCTGGCAGAGATTTGGGCTCCGCCTGGGCCCCCGAGGGGGTCGAAGCGGAGAGGCGGGAGGGGGCTTGCCTCTGAAGGACAGGCGGGCGGGCAGGGGGCGTGGCACGCAGGGACAGAGCACCTTGGGGCGGCCACTGTCATCACCAGCGCGCACAGGTCAGCAGCCGTCCGGGCGGGGCGGGGCAGGGCGAGACTGGACCCGGCCCAGACAGCGGCACCACCCGCCCAGCTGCGGGAACTCCGACACCCGCCCGGAGCTGCGGCTCGTTTCCGCCGGGCCTAGCGGAAAGCTGGGGGCCCTGGGAGAGCGCCGGGGCGGAGTCGCCGGTGCCACCTCGGCGACGCGCGGCACCTCCTCCTTCACGCCGCCCTTTCCTCTTCCTTTTCGTCTTCCCTCCTCCCACCGGAAGTGCCCTCCCGAATTCGTGAAGTCAGAGCTGGATTAGATCTTGGAGGTCATTTCTAACCCCCTCCTCCAAACAAGGGGGTGGGGACGGCTTGAAATGCGGGGGGGGGGGGGGGGGAGAGGCGCGCAGCTCCAGTCTTCACCTCTTATCGTCCTTTCCTTTCCTTTCTCCTCTCCCACCCTTTTTGCGCCTGTGTTTCTTCCCCGGTCTAGTATGTACCATCCTCCCTTCCAAAAAAACCAGTAATGGATAAAAATGGGGGGCGATTTTATTAGAATCCAGGGATATCAGCTTTGGGCAGCTGCGGAGGGCAACTTCACGTAACTCTTCATGGGGGGCAGTGGCCGAATCTTGCGGCCAGCCCAGCCCCCCTTGCGGTGCCATAGTCCACTGGAAGGCCTCTTGCCCAACCAGCGGTTCCGCCCAGCCTTGCCGATGACACGTTTGTTGTGATCGACGTTGGATACCCGGCCTACTGTTGCGATGCACGTTTCCAGAACCTGACCAAAAAAGCAGTTGGAAAAAAATGCACCACGGGGGAAAGAACCTGTTTTTGTTGCCTGCGTGACTCTCGGCAGTCTTCTTACCCTCACTGAAAGAAGGGAGAAGACAGGAGAAAACCACAGCATAACTGAACCTGACTGCAGGTGCTATGGTTGGTAGAAAACAAAAGGCACTGTTCCCTCTCCCATTACAGTGTCAGCCTGACAGGGCGTGCCTAGTCACAGGGCAGAAAGGGACACACCTAACTCAGGGTGGTTCCTCATGTGAAACACCTGGGAACTATCCCAGGCCAGAAAGGTACATTCCAAAAATTCCTCCTTTGTTGATCCCTCCCACCTGTATCCACACACACCTGTATCTGCCTCTTGGAGGGCAGCTGGATGATGGCCGTCCCATTCACTTTCCGTAGCAGCACACCACACGTCCCTGGGGAAGGCAGAAACAGCTTTGCCACACTCCACAGGGAGGAGGTGGGGGCAAATTCATAAGGGGACATACTGCATACCCCGCCCTTTCTTTGCCCTTAGGAGCAGATACACCGCAGCAGGAACCGTGCAATGTTTGAGGTTAAAAACACCAGCACCTCTCCACCCTCGTTTTCCGTGGATTTTTCCCTCCTTTTCTCTGCCTGCGGACCACATGTGGCCCCACAGGTTCAGAGAATTGGGACCTCAGATACCCTTTGGTCTCAGGTATCCTAAAACCCCCAAGTAGCTCCTTTCCTCATACCTGCGGCTCGGATATACTGGGCCCCCCGGCCTGGCTCACTCTCCACGTTGTTGACAAGGGTCCCCACAGGCAAGGCCCCAAGAGGATGTGCGTCCCCTTCCCGAGCAGCAACTAAAAGACAGAATTTCATCAGCCCCAGACCCCTTGCAGCCTCCAAGCCCATACACATCTGGCAGCCGTCTCTCACCTGCCATTCGGCCTATGTGGTCAGAGTTCCGGATGACATCTCCAGCCTGCATGTTTTCTGTGGCAATGATCCAGCGTTTCCGGCTGCCCCCAGCAACCAGAGCTATGTCTGCTGATCTGTTTGGGGTGAGGGACATATGAGCAGACCATCTAGGCAGCCCTACATCTTCTGAAAACCCATAGAACAGTCATACAGCTATACCACCATCATCTCACATCCCAAACTTGCCTACAGGGATCATAGCGGACCACGATGACCTTCTCCTCAAACGGTCCTGGCTTTGTTTCCAGTTCAGGCCGGAAGCGCAGAAAGTCAATCATGCGATAACGCTGCTTGTGGCCCCCGCCAATACCATGCACTTGGATTCGGCCTGTGGTCAGGAAAGTGCAGAGACATGACTCAAGTCAGATGAATCAGCTCCCAGCAGTGGGAATAGGCCCATCCTGTGCAGAAAGCAGTACTTCCTAACATTATGACACAAGTGGAAAATAATATATTTGCACAGCACACTTGGGTAAAGGGGGGTGGGGAAATACCTACACAGAGTTTGGTAAAAACTTAATTATAGGATATTGAAGTTATATAAAACCTCCAGACAAAATCTCTACAAATTACTGAATTCAGTAATTTTTTTTTTTTAAGATTTTATTTATTTATTTGTCAGAGTGAGCACAGGTAGACAGAGTGGCAGGCAGAGGCAGATGGAGAAGCAGGCTCCCGCTGAGCAAGGAGCCCGATGTGGGACTCGATCCCAGGACGCTGGGATCATGACCTAAGCCGAAGGCAGCGGCTTAACCAACTGAGCCACCCAGGCGTCCCTGAATTCAGTAAGTTTACTGAGAATGATGGAAATAGTGCTCAGCTGTTGAAATTTCTGAAGGACGTGAAGAATGTACACTTCATGTGTATATCTGGTTTTCTTCAACTACCTAAATGGTCTTTAGGAGCACAGACCACCTTTCTGTTGCTTTGTATTCTACTCTCTGATTCTTACGCACACACTACATGCAGAAGGAGTCCAATAAATGCTTTTTAATTACATTCCTCTGCCTGTCAAGAAATAGACCTGGGATCCTAACATGTTTTTCCCCTTTAATGTGTAAATCCTCTTGCTCTTGCTCTCACCTGTGTGGTTTCGGCCCCCAGACTTCCTCATCTTCACTGGTGTAATGGTGTACTTGGTACGACTCTTCCAGGACACAATATTCGCACTAAGGGCCACGGAGGTAAGCAGTGGACGGCAGGGGAGCAACACTGAGGAAGAGGGCAGCTGGAGAAGGGTGAAACAGAAATCTCTATGACTTGAAAGGTAACAGAAGGAGAAGCACCAGAGAACCAAGGGTGAAGGTAGAGACCCAGCAGCCTACTTCTTTCTAGGAATGTCCCAGACCCGCTATCCAAAAACTCCACCCTTTACTGCTTGCACACATACAAGATTGGAATGTTTATCTAGGTGTATGTGTGTTGATTACCTCTCCTCATTTGATCTTCTAACCTCTAAAGTATTTCTTCAATGGAATGTTCTTTTCTTGGGGCACCTTCCAAATTTCGCTCAAAATTCTCCTTCTCTGGGTAACTCTTTCTTCTCTAAACAACTTCCTCTTCCAAAGCTGGTTAACTTTCACACATTCATATGCCATCAGCACCAATGCCTGTGCCCCTCTGCATTATGTTTCTGGGAGTTTTCCAGGTGTGAATGGAGGGGAGGGATCATTTCTGTCTTGTTCCCTGCTGTATTCACAGCATTTTAGAGGAGGTTGCTTTCGTTTTGAATTTTAAGTATGCATCTGCCAAACTCTACCCATCATCCAGAAAGGTCTAGAGGAACAAGACTTACACTTTTTTTCTCTGTGACTCACCAATCACCCACTAGGGACACTGAAGGATACCTTTTTGGGGCTGCATTCTCTAATCTCAGCAATGACTCATCTTCAGTAGTTAGTTAAGAGCCCAAGCTTTTTTTTTTTTTTTTTTTTTAAGATTTTATTTATTTATTAGAGAGAGAGCACAAGCAGGGGGAGCAGCAGGCAGAGTGAGAGGGAGAAGCTGGCTTCCCGCTGAGCAGAGAGCCCAACATGGGGCTGGATCCCAGGACCCTGGAATCATGATGGGAGCTGAAGGCAGACACTTAACCAACTGAGCCACCCAAGCACCCCAACAGCTCAGGTTTTGAAGCCAGACTGTTTATAGCTTCAATACCAGGTATATGGGGCACCTGGGTGGCTCAGTCGGTTGAGCGTCTGCCTTTGGCTTCAGTCATGATCCCAGGGTCCTGGGATTCAGCCCCATGTTGGGCTCTCTGCCAAGCAAGAAGCCAGCTTCTCCCTCTTTCTCTGATCCTCCTTCCCACTTGTGCTGCCTCAAATTAAAAAATCTTAAAACAAAACAAGAAATTATTAAAAAAAAATACTTGGGTGTATGACCTTGGACTGCTGATGAGTTTTCTCATGTAAAATGGTAATGATAACCTTATATAGGGGTTGAAAGGACATTGAAGGGGGTTAAATTGGGGCACCTGGGTGGCTCAGTGGGTTAAGGCCTCTGCCTTCACTTGGGTCATGATCCCAGGGACCTGGGATCGAGCCCCACATCAGGCTCTCTGCTCAGCAGGGAGCCTGCTTCACCCTCTCTCTGTCTGCCTCTCTGCCTACTTGTGATCTCTCTCTGTCAAATAAATAAATAAAATCTTTGAAAAAAAAAGGGGTTAAATTGACATTTAAAAAAAAAAGATTTTATTTATTTGACAGAGATCACAAGTAGGCAGAGAGGCAGACAGAGAGGAGGAAGCAGGCTCCCTGCTGAGCAGATGGGGCTCGATCCCAGGGCCCTGGGATCATGACCTGAGCGGAAGGCAAAGGCTTTATTTAACCCACTGAGCCACCCAGGCGCCCCTAAATTGACATTTAAAATGTCAATTACTTATGCTTGGCTTCAGGGCTAATCCTTATAACTCAGCTGCTGCCTGTAGTGTCTTCTGGAAAACTACTTCAAGGGTGATTTTCTGTTACATTTTTTTTTAAAAAGATTTTATTTATTTATTTGTCAGAGAGTGAGCACAGGCAGACAGAGTGGCAGGCAGAGGGAGAAGCAGGCTCCCTGCTGAGCAAGGAGCCCGAAGTGGGACTCGATGCGGGACGCTGGGATCATGACCTGAGCCAAAGGCAGCTGCCTAATCAACTGAGCCACCCAGGCGTACCTTCTGTTACATTTTAACAAAAATTTTTAATCACCTTTTGCTACACCTATTCTTTCCATGTGCAGCCAACTTTCAAAAATTACCAGTATGGTGAAAGGCAAATTAGATCATCAGGAACCAGAATACTAGTCATTTCTCATCTTGACTTTTTAAAAAATCCTAACATGAAGTGAATTTGACTTGAAAGGCAAATAGCTATTAGGGAAGCAATTTGCTATCGTTACAGAGTTATCTGTACTTTCTTTGTTTAATCGAAAAAACTGTAGAAATGTATGTAAAGAATTTAAGACAAGAGTACTGGATGATTTGTCATAGGCTTTTCCCTTCACTTCTCTTCGAGCAGCAGGTAAACAGTTTCTCTATATTCCCTCCGCTTTACCTGTAACAATTTTGTTTTCTACTCTTAATTATATTGTGTATTTATAGTTCTATGCTTACTGTTGTGCATATACTGGCAATGAAACTGTACATAACATTACCTGAAAAAAGTGGGAAAAAAAAAAAAGGGCGGGGGCGCCTGGAGGGCTCAGTTGGTTAAATGTCTGCCTTCAGCTCAGGTCGTGATCTCGGTCCTGGAATCGAGAGCCCCGCATTGGGCTCTCCGCGCAGTGGTGAGTCTGCCTCTCCCTCTGCCTCTGTGATCTCTCTTCCTCTGTGATTGCTTTCGCTCTCTCTAAAATAAATAAAGCCTTAAAAAATAAATAAAATGTCATGATAGTTGTCTTAAAAAAAAGGAGCTGATTTACTTAAAATGTCAATTACTTATGATTGATGTATGACTGGGACTCAATGTCGATTATTACTGAAACCTGTACAGTGACCTGTAAAACACTTTCACTTCCAGTATCTCGTCTGAGGAAATCAGCGACCCTGTGGGACAGCAACACTTGCAGACGAGAAAGCTGAGGCTGAGAGACCCAGGCCGGCGTGATTCCTGATCAGACTCACTTCCTCCGCCTCCCATCCCAGGGTGCCCTCTCCGGCGGCCCGAACAGAAACAGCCTCATTTCCAGATAGGGTGCATTACCTGCGCGGCCGGGAGCAGGCTGGGCCCGAGGGCAGCGACGGCTGGGGGCGTCAGGCTCAAAGAGCCCAGAGCGCGAGTCAGTGCCCTCAGAGCCATGAGGGCACCCAAGCTCCGCGGGAGTCAGCACACCACCATTACTCTGAGCCAGGCCGCCGGGCGTCTCTAGATGACGCTAACAAATCCCGGTGCCGTCGCTTTCTCCTGACGTAAGGAGGTGGGCAGAAAACCCGAGACTAAGGTGGATGCACACCTCCTTTCCTCCTTGCGGGTGGTCAAAGCCAATCCTCCGACAGCCCTTAGGTCGCGTGACTGGGGAGCAGGCCCCGCCCCTCGGAGCCGTCAAAACAATTGCCTCGAGCGGCAGCCATGATGGATTTAAAGGGGCAGTACCGGCAAGGGAGGCAGCCAGAGCGACAGACTGCGGGTGAGTCTTTGAAGGTACTTTGGGGCTTAGCGTTGAGGTCCCACTACCTCTTTTCCGCGTTCCGGGACAGATGGACAAAGGCCCACCAGCCGACCTCACACAACTCCAGACACGCTGAAAAACCCCGCCCCCCGCGAGTCTTCCCGCCCCTCGGCGTCCAGAAGGACAGACAGACGGCCTGCCCCGCCCCCTGCGCTACCGACGGACTCATTGACCTCGGCGTTCTCTGGCTCTTGGGTACTCACCCGAGACGCGGAGCTCGGCGGTGCCCCCGCACCTCCCCCCATCTCCCCCGCCCGTCTCACTCCGTCCCCACCCTGGGCCCCAGGGCAGATCGACAGCCGGGAACAGTCCTCGATCGCATGCCCAGGCTGGGGAGACCGACTCCCAGCACCGCGTTTCCCTGTGACCCTACAGCCGCTCAGAAGACGTGCTATTCTTTCCTGCATCATCAGGCGTCTGAGAGGCACCCTAAGGTGACTCCTCTCAGAGCCTGTTAGTAGGTGGTCATGACAGAGACAAAGCCATGAAAGTGAACGGGTCAGGAGTGACCAGGTCTGCCTCCTCACCCTTTCCCAGACACGCCCCTTGCCGCAGATCTCAGATCAAGTCTCATTCCCTTCTTGGGGAGAAAAGAGCTCCCCGTGGCCTGGGATGGGAGGTTGGCTTCGCGAAGGAAGAGGGACACTGGTCGCCTTTGAAGGCCTGAGGTAGAGAGAGGGAGGGTGTTTGTCCTGAGTAGGGCTCTGCGCCAGGTCTTCTGGGTGGCTGTGAAGTGGTGCGTGAAGGGGTGGGAAGGCTGGACTTCTGGACTTTGGGCAGGGCAGTTCCTTGTGAGTACCTGGCTACTGGAAGAGTTTCTTCCGGCTTTGGCCCGAGTGCCACAGGCGAGGGTTGTGCTCCGTACACCGGTAAGAATACTGGAAAGGTGAGAAACAAGGCTCTTTTGAGGAAGTAGGAAGAGAGCCTGACATCTGGGGAAGTATGGGTTGAAAGCCTAGTGGGGAAAGAAGCAGAGTTTCCTAGGTTTGGAGATGCTGGCCTTGGCTCCGAGGCTGACGCATTCTGAACACCTTGAGCTTTCTGGGGCCCTCTCATCTGGGTCCTGCAATGAAGGCTCCTTTCTTCTTACCCTCTTCCCCGTAACTTTGAATCCTGTACCTTTCCTATTTTCTGAAACCTCTGCACCGTTTTCTTTGTATCTCCTGTCTGCTTTAACCCTGTTTCTTTTTCAGTGTTTTCCAGACACCCTCAAGTTCTCTGTAGTGCTGTCTCTCCTCTGATTGCTTTTCCTATTCCTTTTTTTAAAGATTTTTATTTATTTACTTGATAGGCAGAGATCTCAAGTAGACAGAGAGAGGAGGAAGCAGGCTCCCTACTGAGCAGAGAGCCTGATGCGGGGCTCGATCCCAGGACCCTGAGATCATGCATGACCTGAGCGGAAGGCAGAGGCTTTAACCCACTGAGCCACCCAGGCGCCCCTGCTTTTCCTATTCCTGACCCACGCTCTCTTTCCAACAACTTTTCTGTTTTCTTCCTGAGTTCTAAATCCAATTGCTAGATCTCAGCACTTTTGTTCCTTCAGTAATCTTTCTTTGTTCAAGTCAATTCCTCTCCCTCTCTTTTTCCCGCAACCTTAGCTTTGCGTTTAGTGTCGTAGGTTCCCTCTCTATTGGTCACTCTCTCTCCAATTAAACCAGAAGGTCACCCATACTCTTTCTTGTCCCTTCCCTTGGGTCCTTACCACCCTTTAACCAAGGTGCTGAGCCTCTCTTTCTTATCTTTACCCGCTGAACTCTGTTGTTTCTCCTCAGCCCAGGCAAGGTCCCCCTGGCCAAGATGTCAGGCCTGGTGTTGGGGCAGCGGGATGAGCCTGCAGGGCACCGGCTCAGCCAGGAGGAGATCCTGGGAAGCACTCGGCTGGTGAGCCAAGGGCTGGAGGCCCTACACAGTGAACATCAGGCTGTCCTGCAGAGTCTATCCCATACCATTGAGTGTCTGCAGCAGGGAGGCCATGAAGAAGGACTGGTGCATGAGAAGGCCCGGCAGCTGCGACGTTCCATGGAAAACATCGAGCTGGGGCTGAGTGAGGCCCAGGTGAGAGGAAGGAAGTGATACCAAGTGGCCCTTCGAGGAGCATATTTCTGATTGGAGTTTTGGGGTCATTTAGGATTGCCTGGTCCTAGATGCTTGCATTCATTCATGTAGTAAATATGTATTAAGCCCCTGCTTTGTGCCAGGCACAAGCCTTCTGGGCACTGGAGAAACATCACTGAATGCAATAATCAAAAATCTTTGCCATCTCAGAGCTTGCATTCTAGCTGCAGGAGGCAGACAATACACAAATGAGGAAAGGATTCTGTATGTCAAAGAGTGATACTTGCGAAGGAAAAGGGATAAAAATAAAACAGAGAAGGTGACTAGTGGGAGCAGAAAGAGGATACAACTTTAGATATGATGGTCAAAAAAAGTCTTACTGAAAGGTGACATTTAAGCCAAGATTTGAAGAGGAGGGAGTGAGTCCTACAATAAATGGGGGACGAGCATCTACAGCAGAGTGGGCAGTACCTACAAAGGCCCGCAACTGGAGCATTCCCGGTGAGGCCAGTGAGGGACCAGTATGGCTGCAGTAAGAGCCGGTGAGGTGAAGCAAAATAGGAAATGAAGTGCAGGGGCGCCAGGCCGGCTCTGTCATGGAGCATGAGACTCTTGATCTCGGGGTCGTGAGTTCAAGCCCCACATCGGGTAGAGGGATTACTTAAAAATCAAAAATCTTAAAAGAAAGGAAGGGAGAGAAAGAATGAAGGAAAAGAAAAAAGAAGGAGAAAGAAAGAGAGAAAATGAAGTGTAAGGTGTAGCAGGGTTAAGAGCCAAGGGGACAGATCATGTGGAACTCGTGGTTCATCACAAGATGTTGCTTTTACTCTGGAATGAGATGAAAGTTATTGGAATACCTGGAGCAGAGGAGTGATGTGGTCTGACTTAACATGTTACAAGGACTAGCTGGCTGCTGGGTTGAGAACAGACTCCAAGGAAAAAGGACCAAAACAGAGGCCAGTGAGGAGGTGGTGGTAGTCACCCAGGTGGGAAGTGATGGTGACCTGGCCCAGGGTGGTGGCTCTGAAGGTGATGAAAAATTGGATTCAGGGTATATTTCGAAGGTAGCACTCTTGCTGTCCAGCCCCGCCTCCTGGCCCCTGCCAGTCTTGCTGCCTCCCCGTAGGCTCCCCTCCCACTTAATCCCGGAACACTCTACTCCAGAGTCGGGTGCTCATGGGATGTGCCCACCTAGGTGATGCTGGCTTTGGCCAGCCACCTGAGCACGGTGGAGTCGGAGAAACAGAAGCTGCGGGCTCAGGTACGGAGGCTGTGTCAGGAGAACCAGTGGCTCCGGGATGAGCTGGCAGGCACCCAGCAGCGGCTCCAGCGCAGCGAACAGGCCGTGGCCCAGCTGGAGGAGGAAAAGAAGCACCTGGAGTTCCTGGGCCAGCTGCGCCAGTATGATGAGGATGGGCACACTGCGGTAAGTGCGCGCCAGCAAGGCTGGCTACTGGGGTAGCTGGGAGTCGCCAGTAGTGGGGGGGACAGCTAGGAGTCACCAGAGACATGGGGGCAACTGGTCACAAGCAGCAGGGACTGGCCATGCTGCACCACCTGCCCCCTCCTGGCCGAATGCAGGTCCTGCCACCAACTCCAGAGAGGAGCATGGCTGAAACAGTCTTAACTCATTTGGTCTGCATGTAGTTCCGTGACAGCTGTGTATGCCAAGCACTGTGCACTCTGCTGGGGGCGTGCAGCAGTGACAGAGGCAGACAGAGTTCCTGCTCCCCCAGTTAGAGGTTTTGGGGTTGTGGGAGACACATAAGCACCCGGGCAATTCCAGCCCAGAATCCTACATGCTCCAACACGGGAAACCATAGCACAGTCGAGCAAGACCCTCCTAAAATTTGCTCTCAAGATGTATGAAGTGTAACCCTCACTCAACAGTCAGGTGTTTATCTCTCTGCTGTAGGCAGTGTGAGAGGCTGTGTGTGGGGGAGATGTAAAGAACTATAAGAGAGAGTTCCGTCCTCTCAAGCTCCTAATGGAGCTGCAGGGCCAAGGCTTACACATGAGGACATGTGTGTGATGACACAATGTTGTCGACGCGATGTGACACTTCAGATGCTCAGTGCTGGATGAGTGGTTCAGTAATGGGAGGAATTCCAGGATCGGTTTGTGGGGACTGGAATGGCCTGAGAAGGATTTGCAGATGAGGTCATACACAAGGAGGGGGTATGATTTGGGTTGGATTTTTTTCATTGAACAGGTTAGGAGTTGGGCTGGATTTTGATGGATGATGAAGGGGAAAGGAGGAGCTTTCTAGACTGGGGGTGGCAATGTGCCAATAGATAAGGCTCCAGGGCTGGAGAGCTGATCTCTCCCAGGAAAAGTGGGATGATTTGCACTGGACTCATTGACAAGGCTGGGTGGGAGGCTTGGAGGTGTTTCTGCAAGGTTGATGTGCTCGTGGCGCAAAGCAAATTTCCCATGTGGAAGCAGGTGAGACAGTGAGGGCTGGGCACTGAGTTGAGAGGGAGTGGTGGCAGATCATGGGGAGGAGGCTGAGCTAGACGCTTTGGGTACTCTTTGGGTACGTGTCAATAAGATCAGACACACTCCCTGCCCTCAGGAAAGATAAGACAGACATATAATCAGTGTAAACACACAGGGATCAGCACTGGGC